GGTTTATATCATTCACATACACGTAATATTGACATGCACATGTCGCTAGTTTCCGATCACTTGACATTAACGAGCGATTGACAGCAGTACGAGGGGACAAAAACCTTTATGACTGCTCTGATCTCTAGCTTATCCATTCCTGCCCATTTAATACAGACTATACCTGTACTGCCAGCAACAGTCAGGGATCCGTCTCAGTCAATGTAGATGTACGACGAGAGTATCTCCTATACCTTCACCCATATGTAACACACCACTCTCACTGGATTCAAATCAAAACTCAAGGCACACTTTTCTAACATAGCTCTTGATCAGTGAAGTTTGTTTCTCGGACACAACATCGCTTTTGAGCAGCATTTTCCTGGATATCAGTGCTTTACAAGCATGGGTTACTGAAGGATCATTCTAACCTGGCCCTTCACGGGTCTCGGCAAGAAGAGCAGAGTCTTTAACCAATACGCTACCCAACCACCCCAAATATAATTAAAGTTGCGGGCAACATTGAGGGCTCCTTGGCTTGGATAATTTCTAAACATTTGGTACCTGATGTCGAAAGCAGTAAAGGTTATAGCTGATATGGATCATATCATTGTCAGTAATGAGAAATACTTCAGTGGTAAACTTTGAATTCTTATGTTTTCAGAGTTAGAAACAAAGGATGTGTTGTATGGTATGGGTAATTGCAGGTATGGCTTTGGAAACCGTTGTTGGTTTGATTAGAGATTAGAAGGAAAAAGAATAATGCACTTTCAATTGCTAATAATTTATTCCTTTTGACTGAAAATGTGGTTGTTTATGGTGTTTATTTTCGGGTGAGTGTAGATACAATTTCCAGCTAAATATCAACTACAGCCAAGTTGAAATGCGACACAAAGCGCCCGTGCTCTGTACTTGTGTAGCATGTACCAATATCCACAACACTGTTTCTCTCACGCTGAGCTTAGTTGACACATGTCATCGTATCCCAATTGCGCAGATCGATGCTCATGCTGTTGATCACTGGATTGTCTGGTCCAGACTCGATTATTTACAGACCGCCGCCATATAGCTGGAATCTTGTTGAGTGCGGCGTAAAACTAAACTCACTCACTCACTCACTCACTCAATTTTGTGTAGCGCTAGCTCTCGTCATTGTCAATTGAAATTGACATCATCTCCCATATCTGCACGTGGACCACGCTTTGCAGTGGTAGTCTCTTTATAGCAGATATCGTCCCTGCGCTTTGCTTCAGACTGTCGCATGCTTTGTACGGGTAATCTGCCGTGTCGTAAATCTCCGAGAAAGTTATGACACATTCCAGACATCACAAAGTCGGCGAGTGAGTGGATTTTTAGGATTTTCAGGGCTGCCTCTAACCACCAAAACGTTGATACCTTTAACATGTACGTTAGAATAAAAAGTGATCAGCAAACCATACACATATACACTGACAATTTTCATAGCCCTCAGTAGAAAACCAATCACGATTAGCAACTGTAGTGAGGAAAATAGAATATTATTTGTCCATCCGTTGTCTTTGAAGCTATGTTGCTGCAACTGGTACACACAACTTACACTGGCGGTATAAATGCATATCCAAATTTTGGTCGAAATACGGGTGTTTAAAGCTGGAAAACATGAGTTCCGAGGACAGGAAAAGTTGACCCCTGGTCGGCGGGGGTCATGTAGCTTTTAAGAAGTTCCGGACAAGAAATAGTTCGCTCTTTGACAGGCTGTAGCTCCGTTGTCCTTGGGTCTACGTTCAAAACAATTAGTGTTCTGGAATCGTCAGAACTTCAGCTAGCAGACGCACCGTTTCAAGTGTCCTGGACTTGAGCCGTCCAGGCGAAATTGTAGGCATTTTGATTGTAGGACACATAATGCATTTGTGCAATTTTCAATGCCATATGGCCGACAAACGATCCAATTTTGTACATGCATGTAAGAATACGAAATGTTAAGCATGTTATGTTGATGCATACTGCCAGGTTTTAATGCCTTCTGTGCAGAACTTGAGCAGCTATACTGTTACAATGTAGTATCTTCAGAATCTGACGAAATCCAATTTGGCCGCCAAGCAATACACATTTTGACATAAACCCAAGAATAAAAAATGTTCAACATACCAAGTTACTACGTACTGCCAGATGCTAGCTGCATAGTTGAAATAGTAATGTTGCTGCGATTTTTTGAAAATACATTTTAGTACAAAATATACAACAGAAGCAAACATGTAGATGTCCGTAACTAATCAAGATATCGCAACATAACTTATGGGGAGTAATATGTGAGGTATATAATGTATATCTGCACATTTACAGCGTTCTGCAGTTCATACATTCAGAGTTATGGATTGCGAAAAATGCCTACCCTACAAAATCTGCACATTTCCGATAAACATCTTCAATCCAATATGGCCGCCGCATCACGTGACTTTTGACATAGAACCAAGAACAGAAAATGTTGAACAACCAAAGGCCACTTCAGAACAAGCGCTTAAAATGTTGTATTAGCTAAGTTTAGTTTGGCACAAAATGGCAAAGAAGCCTGTGAAAGTTTTTGAAGACAACTTTTGCCCAAAAGTAGCGTCCAATATGGCGGCCATCATATAACCATAGGCACATTTGACGATGCTGCTGTGTAGGAACATGCATAGACACAAAGTATGCAACGTTTGAAAGCCGTAGCCCTTGTAGTTTTAGTGCAGCACATTTTGGGAGGTATGCAGTCAGGATTTTGCTGAAAAACATCACCAAAAACTTCAATCCCGAATAGCGTCCAAACGGTGCATTTTAGCGACTTGAGCCGTCCAGGCGAGATTGTAGGCATTTTGATTGCGCATCTGCTCCAGAACTTTGGCAAACATTGGAGCGTTAGTATTGGAGATATTTGCATTTGCTTTTGAAATTTTTGAATTCATTTTGAATTATCTGCCCTTTGCTATTGGGCCTATAGCCTAGAGATTTTAAAGAGTGATATGTACACCTCGGTGGGCATCTGGGTGATTTTTTCAAGGCATTCTGTTCAGCGGTGCTCTCTGTAGGTCTGGTACAAAATACGGCGGAAGAATAAATAATAATAATAATAATAAAAACACGAACGATTACAATAGGTCTCCTGCCTAAAGGCAAAGGAGCCCTAATTATGATCTTTCTGGACATGTCCCTTGGAAAGTGTTAAAATATTGGAATTGAGTATGTGTTACTATAAGCGCGAACACATCTGAAGTGTGTTGTAGATGTTCTGCAGTTTCTGGCAAGAGGACGGTGTCGTTAGCGTACTGAAGTATCAGAGGTTTAACAATTGGTATCAAGTGTCTGGCAATCAGTACATGTTACCCAAAACCAAATGTTTCACATAGACTTCTATAGTAACGTTATGATTTGTCTTTAAAACAGCGATTCCATGTACACATGGGTACAGTCTGGCCTTAAACTACAATAAAAACACATATTCTGGCTAGCTTATCCTGTCGATTTTCCAGGCACATGGAGCTGAACACATCAACCCCAGTTCCGCACCAAATGTCACCAACTTGAAAATACCTATACACGCATTAAGCATAAGTTATGGTGTTAAAGATGACTGCCCTAAATACTTAAAATTGTGGACAGTGATTTTTTTTATTGGTAGGATGTGCTTTTAAAAACCAAAAAACTCTTACATTATGTCATCCAATCACATCTGTCACATTTCTCTATCTGGCCACAAGTTAACACACGCTGGCGAGCAACCGATTCTGATTCGTGTAGTAGACCCTACATTGACAGTCTATCTATCGTATACCTGGTTGTCACGTACAAACTCTTCCAGGTCTTTGATGTACAGTGCAAATAGAAACGGTGGTTGCAGTTTCACCCTGAAAGCTTATAGGCACTGGAAATCGTTTGCAGACTATGAACATGTACAGGAAACGGTTTTCTAATACTGCTGGTTAAAACCTTTAAGATAATTTGACGAAACGTGATATTAAACGCATGATCAGAGGCTATATGGTAGGATGTACTTCTCGTTAAGTAGGAAATATGTGTGAATATGTGTTATGACTCAAAACGAGTGGTATGCATGTAGTCATACAACTCTACCGGGCTGACAATTAATACATTATTCGACAACGATGTGAAGGAAGCTTTAGTCAATGTTATAGGAGACACGTAAAATCTGAGTCCGACGACTGAAGGGGTAATTTCCTCGTACACATCTCACCAGGCAAAGACAAACAAGAATGCAGGGTAAACCTGGTTGCATTGTGCAGAATGTATCATATAACATTCCATCGCCAAGTGTGTGATTTGAACTCATCTGAAGCGTTGAGGCGAAATTGTACCTACCATTACCCATAAAGGGACACAACAATAGTCTTGTTTGTGAACGTGTCATCTGTTGTGTATCTTGACTTTGTCCACTCTATCAAGATGGACACAGGCGTAGCAGTTTTGTTGTTCTGCTTTTTTACACCTGTTCCGATTATCGTGTATATCGTATAATCATCGTTAGTTCAAATTACCATCGAAGACAATAACTTCTATCACAAGGCCAGATAGAGTGTTATTCGTTAAACGTCTACATTGCATTTTACACATACAGAAGCATGGCAAATATCAGAAAGAGAGGCGATTTTTACAAGGTGATTTATCTACTCGGACAGCTGATTATGGTTCAAATGTGAAATCACAATTCGAAAGAATTCAAGTGTGCTTATATCTCTAAGTACTATGTTTTAAATGTGAATTACTAGTGATCCCCATGTGAAGTCACATTGAATCATGTTATACATAAAGTGCTACCTATTCGCTGAAATTGCTGTATTAGGTGACGAATGATTGACGAGTGAAATCGGCATAGTCGTAAATATCGGGTATTGTTCTGCCCGTCTTGTCAACATAAGGCGGGCCACACAGTTATCTGTTCCTTTGTCAGGCTGGCATACTGAAGTGACTCGGGTATAGTTACCTACCAGGAAGTAAACATCACATAATATGGCCTGACCTGACAACAGAGCTAGAGGAAAACTATCATCCACGTGCCCAGATACAAAGGTGAGACAATATACTAGCTCATGATTCAAACAGAAAACTTTCCTGATAATTTACCTAGTCTTCAACAATATCTGGATTATTTTATACAGCTATCTATTCCTGTTTACATATATCTGCATGGGTATCATCTGCTGACATCGATATTAAGCACTCTAAACTGAACCGATGAGTTAACAACCAATACGTGTGATCTGCCACATAAGTCAAAACCTCCGTTGGTAGATCAGTCAAGACAAACTCCAACAAATAGGTCGATATGGTACAGTTATGGTAACACATAATATACCCCATACAAGGCCCTACGTACCAGGCGCGGCCACCCGCTCTGTCACATCTGTATATTGTTTTGTGAAGTTTAGCTTGGTGATCAGGTTAACCCTACGTACCAGGCGCGGCCACCCGCTCTATCACATCTGTATATTGTTTTATGAAGTTTAGCTTGGTGATCAGGTTCACCCTACGTACCAGGCGCGGACACCCGCTCTGTCACATCTATATATTGTTTTGTGAAGTTTAGCTTGGTGATCAGGTTCACCCTACGTACCAGGCGCGGACACCCGCTCTGTCACATCTATATATTGTTTTATGAAGTTTAGCTTGGTGATCAGGTTCACCCTACGTAACAGGCGCGGACACCCGCTCTGTCACATCTATATATTGTTTTGTGAAGTTTAGCTTGGTGATCAGGTTCACCCTACGTACCAGGCGCGGACACCCGCTCTGTCACTTCTATATATTGTTTTATGAAGTTTAGCTTGGTGATCAGGTTCACCCTACGTACCAGGCGCGGACACCCGCTCTGTCACATCTATATATTGTTTTGTGAAGTTTAGCTTGGTGATCAGGTTCACCCTACGTACCAGGCGCGGACACCCGCTCTGTCACATCTGTATATTGTTTTGTGAAGTTTAGCTTGGTGACCAGGTTCACCCTACGTAACAGGCGCGGACACCCGCTCTGTCACATCTGTATATTGTTTTGTGAAGTTTAGCTTGGTGATCAGGTTCACCTGGTTACACATTGAAATGTTTGGTTTTCGGAGGCCTGGTTAAATCACAATGTAGCCTGTACATGGAACATGTGCATAGATTCTCGTGAAGTGATGAGGTGAAAATATCGAGAAATAAGAGTATCTGTCGAAAGGAACCTATTAGTGTTGATTACACAAAGATAAATATGTCGGTATTCCTTTTTCGAATATGTCCGTCTCATCATGACCAATTACTCGTAAACGGTAATCAGTTCAGTGATATAATATGGTATATTGCATATCAATTAGAGAGCTCATTTTTAAGATGGGCGCCAGACTGAAACATTCCCCTTAGTGAACTAAACAGACTATATTGGGTTCGAGTGTTGGGTTAACGTCGCTATAAACAGTATTCCACATTAATCAGGTCAAGTAAACTCAGAGTGGTAGTAAACGCTGGAGTGGCCTAAATGTCAGGTATGCAGCACTTCAAACCCACGAGTACAGGCATGGTTGTGGGAAGCCGAGAAACTACAATCAGAGGGAGAAGAGTAGCGCTCGGTAGTGACTGGGCAACGAGACCGTATCAACACTTACAAAACATAATTTATAATTCATTACTGGACACACTACATGTCTCATATCTTTCATGGTGACGTTTTTCAAATGTCGCAGACCACAACTGAATATGAATATGAGAATGGGAATGTTTATTGTTATTTTACCTTTTCAGCACACTGCTGTCAATGGCGTCCCTTCGTATTATAGCAACATCTGTGTTTGCAGTTGTCCTGTTGAAAGGTAAATAAGGCTTTAGATTACAGATTATTTATGAGTATTAGCAAACAAAATTTGTTTCTTAATTAAATACTTATTTTGCATCTACTACTCAACATGTATCATTTTCACAGACGTCCATAGTACGTGCAAGTATCGAGGGCAGGACCAACGTAAATGGTAAGGGAAAATATTGATATCGATGGAATGGTTTTCGGGGTTTAATAAAGAAGTGTAGAATATACAGATTTGCCTTGACTTTGATCCCTGATTTATCAGCTAGATACCTGTGCCCGTCAGAGACCTGTCACATATTCCTTTTTGTCAGGTGTTGGGAGAACAGTGACTGTATCAGGGTCAGGAGGTACAGGGATACCCCCAAGCAGGCTCTGACACTGAGATGCAGCTACACTGTGACACTGTGACACCTGGTGATATTGTTACTTATTTCCAGGTGTTGGGGGAACAGTGACTCTATATCAGGGCAGGAGGTACAGTGATACCCCACCAGCAGGCTCTGACACTGAGATGCAGCTACACCGTGACACCTGGTGATATTGTTACTTATTTCCAGGTGTTGAGGGAGCAGTGAGTGTATCAGGGTCAGGAGGTACAGGGATACCCAACCAGCAGACTCTGACACTGAGATGCAGCTACACTGGGACACCTGGTGATATTGTTACTTATTTCCAGGTGTTGAGGGAACAGTGACTGTATCAGGGTCAGGAGGTACAGGGATACCCAACCAGTAGGCTCTGACACTGAGATGCAGCTACACTGTGACACCTGGTGATATTATTACTTATTTCCAGGTGTTGAGGGAGCAGTGACTGTATCAGGGTCTGGAGGTACAGGGATACCCAACCAGCAGAATCTGACACTGAGATGCAGCTACACTGTGACACCTGGGGATATTGTTACTGCATTCACATGGAGAAGGGTGAAGGGCAGTTCTACAGTGGACATAGCCAGTGGATCAGTGCCTGCTCAGACTGCTTTATTCCGAGACTCCTGGCAGAACAAGGGCTTGTTTGTTGGTGACAACACCTCCTCCGTCGACATCCAGCTGCCTGCCAGTCACGTGACCTCCAGCTACGCCGGAACATACAGGTGTGAAGTGTTGGTGGTGTCAGGGTCTGCTTATGCTGACGTCACTGCCTCTGTGTTGGGTAAGTATATGGCAGACATTGTTATGAATGAAGGGTAACGGGAGACATCCGACTATCCATATTAGATTCATCGCATATAACAATAACGTGGAGAGAATTAAAAACACAGATATGTTTAAAACAGAACTCATGCACAGAACCAGCGCTTCTTCACCTCTGCAAGCATTTTACGAGGATTTATCAAAAACTTTTGAGCCTAAAATACTTTTGATATGTACATGATAAAAAAAACTTAATGATATTGAAAAATGGTTTATATCATTCACATAAACGTAATATTGACATGCACATGTCGCTAGTTTCCGATCACTTGACATTAACGAGCGATTGACAGCAGTACGAGGGGACAACAGCCTTTATGACTGCTCTGATCTCTAGCTTATCCATTCCTGCCGATTTAATACAGGCTACACCTGTACTGACAGCAACAGTCAGGGATCCGTCTCAGTCAATGTAAATGTACGACGAGAGTATCTCCTATACCTTCACCCATATGTAACACACCACTCTCACTGGATTCAAATCAAAACTCAAGGCACACTTTTCTAACATAGCTCTTGATCAGTGAAGTTTGTTTCTCGGACACAATATCGCTTTTGAGCAGCATTTTCCTGGATATCAGTGCTTTACAAGCATGGGTTACTGAAGGATCATTCTAACCCGGACCTTCACGGGTAAGATGGATGGATGGATAGATGGATAGATAGATGGATAGAAAGAACACTTTTTGCTCCAGTTATTGTATTATTATGCATGAACACATTTCTGAACAGGTAACATGTAATATAGCCCCCGTGAAGATCCGGGTTAGAATGAACCTTCAGTAACCCATGCTTGTCGGAAGAGGCAACTAACGGGATCGGATGGTCAGGCTCGCTGACTGGGTTGACACATGTCATTGCTTCCCAATTGCGTAGATCGATGTTCATCCTGTTGATCCCAGGATTGTCTGGTCCAGACTCGATTATTTACAGACCGCCGCCATATAGCTTGAATATTGCTGAGTGTGGCGTAAAACTTAACTCACTCACTCTAGTATAGCTACTAAATTTGGATATACACAGGTTAACAATCGTCAACTGAGTTTAGCAAATTGATTTGTAATCTTTAGATCCTCCATCTATATCTGGACTACCATCAACACAGACCGTCACAGAGTTCTCTAACCTCAGGATAGACTGTAGCACCTACACCACAGCAGGCAACCCTCCAACAACAAGCTACACATGGACCTATGGTGGTTCTACTGTCAGTACTGGGGCTGTACTTGACAGAAGGAACATCAGCAGGAGTCAGGGAGGAGACTACATCTGTACTGCCAGCAACAGTCAGGGATCAGATTCAGACGCAGTCAATGTGGATGTGCAGTGTGAGTAGCCAGTGGTTAGACAATTCTTAAGACTATTCATTCTCTACCTTAAAACATGGACTATAGTCATATGGCAAGAAATACGACTAAGCTATGGTCTCGGTAGGCTAAACAAGATACTAATTTGGATAATAGTAGATGATCACACTGCTGTAATTGTTGGCGTATATGTGTTGTTTTGAATCCAGCCACATTATTATATCTTATAGCTAAAATGAATAGAGTTATCATTAAAACGCCCGCATGTTATCAGAAATGAGCGGGCCACTGTAACTTGATAATGTCCTAAAATTGCTTGACGACAGGCCATTATGAGGCCCGTTGTTAGGTGACGTCACAGGGAGCTCAGCTCTTGATGTTCAATCACCTACGGCTCGTTTGAACTTGGGTTCAATAGTGACGATATGTCTGACTCACATTCGTGCAATGTACCTGTGCCATTAAGCAATTTCTTGTCGGTGCCAACGAAACAATTGTACAATAATTACAACATGCAACATTGAAAGCATAGACTGGTAGTATGGCAAAAGGTCAAGGTCGAATGTCGTCACGCTCAATAGTGACGTCATCTGTTTTGTTCTATGACGTTTCCATATTTGTAAAAAGTGGGTAAGTGGCCTCCGTCATTTGTTGTTAGCAGTAGATGCTTCAAACCCGATACCGTTTCTCGTTATTATTATATTAAAACTTCTATCCATTTTAGCTATAATAACAGTAACGCTATTTTTCAGCATTACAATTATATTCCAGACGGTCCCTACCAGATCTCCCTGACCCCCTCCACCTCCTCCTACACTGTGACAGAACATCAGGCTCTTCCATCAATCACGTGCTCCGCCCTCTGTAGACCCGGATGTAGCTACAGGTGGTTACACAATGGAACAACCTTCAGCAGTGGAGCGGTGCTCCAGGGACAAGCTGACAGATCCAAGACAGGCTCCTACAGATGTCAGCCTTATAATACACACGGGAGTAGTGACAGTGTTACAGTCAGTGTTAATGTTCAGTGTAAGTATATAGTCTACACTGGTGACAGTGTTAGAGTTAGTGTTGATGTTCAGTGTAAGTATACAGCCTACACTGGTGAAAGTCAGTGCTGATGTTCAGTGTAAGTATATAGTCTACACTGGTGACAGTATTACAGTCAGTGTTGATGTTCAGTGTAAGTAAATAGCCTACACTGGTGACAGTGTTACAGTTAGTATTGATGTTCAGTGTAAGTATATAGTCTTCACTGGTGACAGTATTACAGTTAGTATTGATGTTCAGTGTAAGTATATATCCTACACTGGTGACAGTGTTACAGTCAGTGTTGATGTTCAGTGTAAGTAAATAGCCTACACTGGTGACAGTGTTACAGTTAGTATTGATGTTCAGTGTAAGTATATAACCTACACTGGTGACAGTGTTACAGTCAGTGTTGATGTTCAGTGTAACTATATAGTCTACACTGGTGACAGTGTTAGAGTTAGTGTTGACGTTCAGTGTAAGTACACAGCCTACACTGGTGACAGTCAGTGTTTATGTTCAGTGTAAGTATATAGTCTACACTGGTGACAGTATTACAGTCAGTGTTGATGTTCAGTGTAAGTAAATAGCCTATACTGCTTTCAGTGTTACAGTTAGTATTGATGTTTAGTGTAAGTATATAGTATTCACTGGTGACAGTGTTACAGTTAGTGTTGATGTTCAGTGTAAGTATATAGCCTACACTGGTGACAGTGTTATAGTCAGTGTTGATGTTCAGTGTAAGTAAATAGCCTACACTGGTGACAGTGTTACAGTTAGTGTTGATGTTCAGTGTAAGTATATAGTCGACACTGGTGACAGTATTACAGTCAGTGTTGATGTTCAGTGTAAGTAAATAGCCTACACTGCTTTCAGTGTTACAGTCAATCTTTATGTTCAGTGTAAGTATATAGTCTTCACTGGTGACAGTGTTACAGTTAGTGTTGATGTTCAGTGTAAGTATATAGCCTACACTGGTGACAGTGTTACAGTCAGTGTTGATGTTCAGTGTAAGTAAATAGCCTACACTGGTGACAGTGTTACAGTTAGTATTGATGTTCAGTGTAAGTATATAGTCTACACTGGTGACAGTGTTACAATCAGTGTTGATGTTCAGTGTAAGTATATAGTCTACACTGGTGACAGTGTAACAGTCAGTGTTGACGTTCAGTTTAAGAATATAATCTACACTGGTGACAGTATTACAGTAAGTGTTGATGTACAGTGTAAGTATATAGTCTACACTGGTGACAGTGTTACAGTCACTGTTGATGTTCAGTGTAAGTATATAGTCTACACTGGTGACAGTGGTACAGTCAGTGTTGATGTTCAGTGTAAGTATACAGTCTACACTGGTGACAGTGGTACAGTCAGTGTTGATGTTCAGTGTAAGTATATAGTCTACACTGGTGACAGTGGTACAGTCAGTGTTGATATTCAGTGTAAGTAAATAGTCTACACTGGTGACAGTGGTACAGTCAGTGTTGATGTTCAGTGTAAGTATATAGCCTACGGTGGTGACAGTCAGTGTTGATGTTCAGTGTTAGTATATAGGCTTCACTGGTGACAGTATTACAGTTAGTGTGGATGTACAGTGTAAGTATCATTGTTAGAATACTGGACACATGTGTGTACAGCTACCAACACCCTCAGTCCTTGTGTGTGGACATCTGTAGTGAGATCTGACTCTGTGGAGGTGACAGTGGATGTACCATGTAAGTATCATTGTTATAGATTAGAACTTCGATCAAGTTTATTTCGTTATAGAAGCTCATTATTATCCTGGGAGTTAAATATATTTTCGAACATAATTATATAATTTTATAACAGATTTACCCATTACTCTGACTAATCGTTTGTTTCGGAGTACAGCTATATATAGTTCAGGTTGCAGAAGAGATTTCACACTTTAACATAATGCACTAAAAAAACAAACGCTTCAAAACTGTGATAACATGTTTGGAGATGTCTCTTACACGTCTTCCAAATGCCGACAGAATCATGTTCTTATCACCAACATCTTGGTATACCCATACAAATGCAAAAGCGATATTAAATAACATTTGTCTCACTTACGATGTCCAAGTGACCTCACCATTCTCATCTAATACTTTGTGCAGAACAGAAGTTATGAGGAATTATCGACTTACATCAGCAAACCCTCAAGAGGGGTTAAAGTACTGTAAAATTATTGTCCTCCTGAGAGGGATCGTAAGTCCCAAAACTCTCAAAGTAAAGTGCAAACTTACCAGGATTTTAAGCGTTATGGCTAAATTGTGACTACAACCGTTGGCTCCTGAAGGGATGATGCAAATCAAACTAGGGTCCATGTATCCAAAAGACCATAGTATGGTGATCAGCCTTCAGTTGTTGGCGATCTGAAGCCCGTGTTTTAAACTGTATTGTCTTCTTAAATTGGAATGTTTTAGCTTTTCTCACCAGTTTTATATTCATATCTGTGATTCCCTCGTATTTTACTGTCCATCGTCGACAGGTTTTACTCCTCAAAATGTTTCCACTTTTTATTGTATAAATTGTTTTCGTCACGATATTGCTGAGATATTGCCGATGTGACGTAAATACTAACTCACTCACTCCATCCGCAAAAGTTTAGTCCAGTAGAAAAAAAAGATATAAAGATGTAAAGATATAAAGAAACGGGACAATTATGGGCAATATAGTGATAATGGATATTCATATCAAAATGAGTAAGTTTCTCCTTGTTTCCCTATATATCATGACTTTAAGCTTAATACCATGGAATATTCGTGGCTTACCACATGATTGTCAAGATATTGTCAATAATATTCCAGATGATGTTGATATTGTTGCTGTGCAAGAACATTGGCTCAATCCAGATAATGTCCACAGTCTCAATGATATTAATGGTTTTTCACTCATTTCATCTATATGTAACAAAACAACTTCTTCTCGAGGTGCTGGCGGTGTTGCCATACTGCGTAACAATAAGTCCACGTGGAGGCTGCGCAGAATTGCAACACAGACAGAATTTTTTGTTGCTGCAGTTGTATATGCACATGGATACCCTGATATGTATGTAATATCTTCCCGATTACCTTCCACTAATGTTCTGCACTCTGTGTATGTAGATGCAGTTGAACAACTCTTTGATATGTATGATATCCTTAGTCAAAAGGGTGATACTTTTATACTGGGTGACCTCAATGCAGATATCTGTAAAAACATATTATCCCCACGTTATAGTGTGCTTTATAACTATATCACAGAACGGCATCTTATACATGCTGTTAGTACATTACGCAACCATGGGCCTGACCATACATGTAGAAGTAAGGACAGCAGATTTAAATCGCTCATTGATTACATACTCCTCCCGTCACACCTGACCGATCAGCTTGCCTATTGTTGTGTAATGGATGATTGTAGCTACGCTGTATCTGACCATTACCCATGTCTTGCTACTGTATCTAGACAACAGGAACATGTACGCAAATCTGATAGCCTCTATTTTCCAAAATGGCATAAAGCTGACCAATGTGACATTAACGTATACAGAGAGAAAAGTTCCCGACTTCTCTCAGAAATTACTATTCCCCCTCATCCCCTACCTCCCCATGAAATTGAATCATACACATGTAATGTTATAAATGCTCTACAATCCGCCAGTTCCCGGTGTATTCCTTCGGGTGTTTTTAAAGCACATTTAAAGCCATACTGGAAATCAGACGGACTAAACGATTTGCATTACAATATGCGTGTAGCTAGACGCGAGTGGTTGGTTGATGGTAAACCAAGGACAGGTAACTCGCCTTTGTATATTAATTACAAATTAGCCAAGCGGGAATTTAGACGATTACATCGTAAGTCTAAACGGAAACAGCGGTCAGATTTAAGTAGCGAATTAGAAAGGTGCTCCGATGCTGATATTGGTACTTTCTTTAAATCAGTTCGCAAAATGAGGCGACAGAGTCCAGTTGTTAAAGAGCTAGTATTTGGTCATAAATGTGCAAACACAGCAGAAGATATTTGTGAACTATGGGGTCATTACTTTGCAGATCTCGCCAAACCTCATTACTCTCCATTATTTGATAGCAACTTTCTAATAACAGTTGACAGGAAGGTTAGAAATATAAGCCAGAAATATTCCTCATGCAAAGAAGATATTTTATGTAAACATATTGAAAGTGATGAAGTAAAGGAACATATCAATAATCTCCACAAAAATAAATCTCCTGGCCCGGACTGTATTCACAATGAACATCTTATCTATGGTGGCGATGACATCGTAAATACATTAACGGCACTTTTTAACTCTATTTTAGGATCTGCATATGTCCCTAGCACTTTCAGAAGAGGTGTAATTATCCCGATATATAAAGGTAAAAAGGCGAAAAATGATCCAAAAAATTATAGAGGAATAACTCTTACTTCTTGTATTGGTAAACTTTTGAAAAGTCTTATTGGCTAGACTAGAAATCTGGGTACAAGAATACATACCCTCATTTCCAGACAAGCTCCAATTTGGGTTTAGAAAGGAACATGGAGCAACCACTTCAGTCTTTACTCTAAACGAAAGCTTATCATATTATCTAAGCAGAGGTTCTAAAGTTTATACAGCCTTTATGGACAATGAGAAGGCGTTTGATCGCATATGGCATAATTGACTCTTTTTAAAGCTATATCAAATGGGTATAAAGGGCAAAATGTGGCAGCTCCTATATCAAAGTTATACATCAAGCTCTGCTTTTGTGCAATATTGTGGTCTGAGATCAAATGAATGTGTTATCAAGCAAGGTGTTGGGCAAGGTAGAGTCTTGTCTTCCTGGTTTTTCCTTGTTTTTATTAATGATTTGATATGTGAACTTAGAGATTTGAACAATGGCATTTGTGTAAGTGGCATTAATATCCCATGTATTCTATTGGCTGACGACACAACACTTGCTTCCACTTCTCCAAAAGGTCTTCAATCATCACTTGATACTGTTTATAGCTATGCTGGTAAGTGGCGTCTAACGTATAACGGTTCTAAAAGCACTTGTGTCATTTTCTGCAAATATAAGAAACGTCTGGGTAATTATTCTTTCAAATTTGGTGATTCAGACATACCAATAAGTGATTGTGTTAAGTATGGAGGCATTTTACTTTCGTCTGATCTATCCCCAAAATCAAGAGTATATTCATACTGCCAGAAAGCACGACAATCTGTAAATTCTCTAAAAAGTCTTGGTTTAAATGGTAAAGATCTCCACCCTACTTCTTCTGTTAAAATATGGAAAAGAATGATACTTCCAACGAGCTTTTACGGTTGTGAACTTTTACCCATTCTTCGAGGTAAAGACTATGACTTGGTAGAAAGCACACAGAGATATTTTGCCAGATGCATTCAGGGCTTCGGTAAGCGCTTTTCCTCTGCTTCAGTGCTAGGTAACCTTGGATTGTGGAGTATGGATGGTTATATAGATAAATGTAGACTATTATTTCTCGGTAAGCTGTGCAACAGCAAGTGTCACTCTTCATTTAAGGATATTTTCTGTGTACATTTAGCCACCTTTCAAAACAGAACAGCTGTCTTACACAGCATATGTGACACACTTATTCAAACTAGTTTAAAATACAATCTCTTCAATTATCTTAGTGACTATCTCGATATTGGAAGGTTTCCATGTAAATCGTCGTGGCGAAGAATCACTATTAATTGCATAAATAAATCTGAAACTGAACGATGGGCTTCTCAAGTGTGTAAGGCACGATATGAATAGATATCGCTTGACCCACAACTTCTTTGGTGTACATAGATTGTATTGTTTGATGTATTTCTACCCACAGTTTAAAGATATATTACAGTTTTGTGTACAAATCAGCTCAAGGGGAAAATTCTCAAAACATTGTGAACTCTGCAAAAGATACTGTAATGATTATGACTGCCATGTAATTTTACACTGTGAACACTATATGTACAACAGAAATAATTTCTTTTCAAAACTTATAGATCTCTTTGATGTGGATGTTTATGTACAAATAGAATTATTATCTGAAGATGAAATGTTATCACTATTTTCTGGGGGTGAACTACTAGTTACTAACGATATTGATGAAATGTCATGGAGATGTATGATTGTTCTCTTCTGTAAATACCTATATTCCTTGCTTCCCTCACTAAACTGTGCATTCTAGACCTTAATCTTTTCTTTGTACATATATATGACTATATGAATGTGTTGTGAATATATTGCTGTGATTATGTTGCTGTAAATATGTCATGTACATGTTCATAATGATCTTCGGACTACAATCTGGAGGAAATAAAGAGATTCATTCATTCATTCATTCATTCAAGTGTATAGTAAGTTACCGTCCATCATCACATGATCCAGTGTCCATGAATCATACTGTGATACTTTTTCTCCATTTCTAAATACAATATTATTTGTTTATCAAGGTTTACACACAATCCCCATTTCGTGAAACATGTACTAGTATTTAAAACATCTAGCTGTCCTTGCAAGGCCCGAACAGCCTTGATGTAAAGCTTATCGGCAAATAAGAGTAACATCAGATCTTCAGTAATTTGGGTAACAAATACACCATGATAACAAGCACTGTACATTTCTAGCGCAAACACATTAATACAGGACATAATCAGAGCATGGATCAAGACGCACGTTGCCTTACCCCACCAGAGGTACTAAAACCCACATCTAGAGCAACCAACCATTACAACTGCTTTCACTGATCCATACATACTTTTCAACAAAATGAACATTTTACCATAAGATCCTTTTCCTAAAAGTAAAAATAGCAGTTTTTTCCTGTCAACATAGTCAAAAAAAATTCTGAATTATTGAATGCACAATAGAATTTGCCTTTGGCTTACAGAGATATTTTGAACATATGCCTGTAACATAAATATATGGTCAGTGATAGAGTGTGGGTACATCTGTAGTGAGATATGGGATCTGACTTCGTGAAGGTGTCATACACGATAGGGTATTTTAATTGAAGATATTTAAAATGGATACAATGGAAGGACAATCTTAAAAAAAGTATTTCAACTTTTTATTGAAAAATCAGAAAACTTTCCCTTGCCCCCAAAAGAGAATATTTTCACGTAACAACATATATATTTCCAGATGTTGATCTTGATAACGTTGACGCAATTTCAGATCCTGCCAGTATAAGTATATTCACGGCCAACTCACTCAGTGGCTCAGTGACAGTTAACGAGTCTGACCCAGCTACCTTGAGCTGCCAGGTGTACAGTAATCCAAGGCCAGTCATCAGGTTACTGAATGGAACAGAGGAGTTGACAAAGGAAAATAACTCCCTGACATCAACATATAGACTGGAGTCAGTGGACTGTAGACAAAGAGGGAACTACTCCTGTACTGCCACCAACAACATCGGGGCACCTGTCACCAAGAGGGTGGAGCTGCTGGTCAAATGTAAGTATTTCATTTTCAGCAACTGTAGGTGATATGTGTCAAGGCAAAATGTGATTGTCAAGATAGCATAATCATATAGCAATTAAAGGTTTGTATCTATTTAGGTATTATGTGGGGCGATGGGGACAACATCAACAATTTACGACAAGACTGGAGTCGGAAAAAAACATACTTTTGATGCGTTTAAAGCAAGTATATGCTGCTCATATAAGTTCAAATTAGCTTCGAATCTTTACTATTTGTGGTAAACGAGCGTGAGGGAGGGAGGGAGGGAGGGAGCGTCGGCCAAATGTTGGGCCAGCCTAAAGTGAAACATGGCTTCAACATTTAACGCACTTCTCAAAGGCATGAGGTTCAAACCCAGAATCATAATAGTGATGATCCCAGAATTCCAGGACGTTCCTAGAATTGGAGCACCAAAACTTCCACAGTAATGCGAATGATGTTTGAATAGTCTATCAATTCCAACTATTCAAAGTGAGTGAGTGAGTGAGTTAATATTTAACGTCACATCGGCAATATCTCAGCCATATCGTGACGAAAGCAATTTATACAATAAAAAATGAATACGTTTTAGAGATTAAAACCTGTCGCCAATGGATTGTAAAAATACTAGAATATCACATATAGGAACATAAAACTAGCATGTCAAACTAAAAGATTTTATTTAAAGAAGACAATACAATATAAAACACGGGCTATAGATCGCCAACAACTGACGAGAGATCACCATACTAGGAACCATGGGAACTTACATTATTTTGCTACCTGCATGGACCCCAGCTGGATCCACCTATTCAAAGAAATATGTTAAATGGAACCATATCCTAAACCATATCATATCAGACCATTTATACGCCTCTGTCTGAAATTGTCATTTTAGTCACTTTGTGCTCTATGATTCTAAGGTGACAATATCGGTTTGACCAGAAGTTGAGATATTTTATACAAATATGATAATATATAGTACAGAAAACTAAACGACATTTGCAACTGGAACTTAAACATGTGAAACAAACTTAATGTAGGCCACCATGACTTAATGTTATGCTTTTAGATAACTCATTAATGAGTTTACCAGATAAACCAGTCAGAAGGTGGTTACTTTATATTTGTTTTAGAGAAGGACGACACAATTGGGGCTTATCCAGCTAAAGCTGTTGGGGTTGTGATAATATCTAATACTCTTTCGTCTGGTCAGGTCCACCTCGACTTGACGACCCAGTGTCCCAGCAGCTCAAGTACGCCACTACACTGGGTGGTGACGTGACTGTGTCTGTGTCAGTCCTGGGCTACCCCCTTCCTACATTCATCTGGAGTAGATCCATCAGCACCAGCCAGGACCTCACTGGTTCCTCCAGCCCTGTCTCAGATATCTCAGTCACTGCCAGACTACACCTTACTAACCTCCAGCAGCAGGACTTTGGGGACTACAGTCTGACAGTGGACAGTGGGGTTGGAGGGATAGTGACATACACACTCGACATTTTGTCTGAAGGTGAGAGTATCTTGCTAACCTCCAACTGTCGGACTCACGGTAGACATCGGTGAAGGTGAAACAGTCAGAACAGGGTCTGAAGCTGAGTGTTGAATGGCCTAATCAGACTAATCCGCATTACTGCTCATGGATTACAGATAATCCAACTACTGACCCATCAGTACATTCCTCAATGTCTTCATTATCATGACTCAGAAAGAGGAAATCAAATGGCACGGTATCCTGAATATCCGCCTTGGAGTTAAACATTCAAATACGGCAGGATAAAACGGTGCCTCTTAGTCATATCTTTGTCTTGCCATGATTGCAAACGCTACAAGACAGTAAAGATTCCTAGCATTCTCCAAAAAATGCTTACAAACACAAAGATAAATTGTCCCTTCCATTATGTGTATGTGCACAATATGAAAAAAACACACATGAAAATATGCAATTACAAATATTACCTAAACATATAAACCTCTTTGTTTTATGATTATATGGCAGAGTCTGTTCATACTCATCTTTTGACTGGAAGAGATTTTTTTTAGTTGTAACCTGTGATGCAATCACAACATATCTGAGTTCTGTATGTAACATAGTATATTTAGCTGGGAAAACTCATACACTTACATACTGAATTCTTGCAACCAACCGATATCTATGTATTACCATGCTGTGTATCATATATGTATTTAGCACTGTATACGTAATAACGATGTAAATATGCACTTCTAATGCCGCAGAACACGGACGGGTTGTAAATGAAGGTCATTTCAGTTCAGATTAAACACTTTTCGAATACTCTAAACTCCCAGTACTCCCAACTTCTCATATTAGAAGGAATGAGCCTCGGATTTCCCACACAGCCCTCTGAAAACTAACATAATAATTTGATAATTATTTCAGATATTTCCGCAGGAATGATGCCTGATGTCATTCAGACATTAACCCGTCAAACTCATGTCAATATTAACTGGTTTCCATTCCATTTATTTCTAGTTTCATTTTCATTCATCATTGACAACTCGCTATTTTTTCACCGTCAAATATGTAATACATCACCAGTTCGATTGACTTTCAGATTTGATATTTCTACTGGTAGCCATGTATGATGCGTGAAACCATTCAATGCATGCATATCGAAACATAGTTCAGACTCACATCTTCCCCCATCCTCCATTTGATCTCTGGCAGATAAGATTGCAACATTTTAAATAACTTAGTACATAAGATTCATTCATTGTTGAGAAGGTCACAACAAATGAATAGATAAGTTTGACTTAACTTAACGTGTAATGTTAATGTTGTTATGTTTATTTACAATAAATTGTCAGTTGACATGTTTTCAATGAACCCTTATTGTTCTTTGTTACCGGTTCATTAATTACTTTAACACAACTGCATGCATACAAATGTGTACTGTCAGTACATCTTCTGTTTCCAGGACCACCAAGCCCCCCAAGAAATGTCAGTGTCTCCCCAGAAGGCCCCTTTACTCTACATGTTTCCTGGAAGATGGAGTTCAATGGCGGAGCTACTCAGACATTCACTGTAGAGTACAGCACAGACGAGGAGACCTGGAAGACAGCAGGGAGTCATAGGGAGACAGGGAGTGGGAATTATATGACATCAGCCATCAAGGATCTCAACTCTGACACTCGGTACTATGTGAGGGTTGTCGCCAGGAACAAGTTTGGAAGCAGCAACTACACTGAACATTTGACTGGACACACGGAGAAGAAAGTTATAGGTACGTCTCATTTTACATTGAAGACATCATCTCAGGATACGTACATTGTAGGTTAAGCTGTTTGTGGCCTCTGTTTTATATGTGGTACTTACTCAAGAGGTAACCAATTTTCTTAATGAATTGGACGAGTGTTTATTTGTTAATATTCACTATCGGTGTGATGCTTAAAATCTAGACATATCTGCATCCATTTCAGACTTGGTTATATGCGCGACCAGTGTATATAGTTTGGAAACGTTCCGCTATGGTGCCCTCATACTGTCATAAACTTTGCCACTTACGTTCCCTTTCAGCCCGTGTAACGATTTACGTATTGCTTCGAACACCATGGCGTTTTCCTATAAAACAGTTTTGATACATTCATCATGAAACCTCGAGAGCACGGCATATTCGACACATTCATTCTGTAAGTGGCGGGAGCTACGTGGAGAGCAGAACATGCCAACTTTGTCATGAACACCTGGTGTTGTCACAGATATTCCTTGCTCCTTTCATATAATTTTGACTACTACTGGTGTTTTACACCTAATGGAATCTGTGTTTAATATTCCCTGCTCCTTTCATATAATTCTGACTACTACTTGTGTTTTACACCCAGTTGAATCTGTGTTTAATATTCCCTGCACCTTTCACATAATTCTGACTGCTACTTGTGTTTTACATCCAGTGGAATCTGTGTCTGATTTCCATGCTCCTTTCATATAATTCTGACTACTACTTGTCTTTTACACCCAGTGGAATCTGTGTTTGATATTCCCTGCTCCTTCAATATAATTCTGACTGCTACTTGTGTTTTACATCCAGTGGAATCTGTGTCTGATTTCCATGCCCCTTTCATATAATTCTGACTACTACTTGTCTTTTACACCCAGTGGAATCTGTGTCTGATATTCCCTGCTCCTTCCATATAATTCTGACTACTACTTGTGTTTTACACCCAGTGGAATCTGTGTTTAATATTCCCTGCTCCTTCCATATAATTCTGACTACTACTTGTGTTTTACACCCAGTGGAATCTGTGTTTGATATTCCCTGCTCCTTCCATATAATTCTGACTACTACTTGTGTTTTACACCCAGTGGAATCTGTGTTTAATATTCCCTGCCCCTTCCATATAATTCTGACTACTACTTGTGTTTTACACCCAGTGGAATCTGTGTTTGATATTCCCTGCTCCTTCCATATAATTCTGACTACTACTTGTGTTTACACCCAGTGGAATCTGTGTTTAATATTCCCTGTTTCTTCCATATAATTCTGACTACTACTTGTGTTTTACACCCAGTGGAATCTGTGTTTAATATTCCCTGCTCCTTCCATATAATTCTGACTACTACTTGTGTTTTACACCCAGTGGAATCTGTGTTTAATATTTCCTGCTCGTTCCAGATAATTCTGACTACTACTTGTGTTTTACACCCAGTGGAATCTGTGTTTAATATTCACTGCTCCTTTCATATAATCCTGACTACTACTTGTGTTTTACACCCAGTGGAATCTGTGTTTAATATTCCCTGCTCTTTTCATATAATTCTGACTACTACTTGTGTTTTACGCCCAGTGGAATCAGTGTCTGATTTCCCTGCTCCTTCCATATAATTCTGACTACTACTTGTGTTTTATACCCCATGGAATCTGTTTTTGGTAACTAGAACTGTTTATCACATGTCCACATTATGTATTCCTCGTAGCAATGCAGTGTGGTATTGTCTATACGTGGGGTATTTCTGTTTAAGCTCCTGCATCCTCTCCTCAAGCTGGATTAATAGCAGGAGTGACCGTCGGTGTGGTGTTGGTCGTCGGCATTGTGGTCGTCGTTATCGTTATGACCAGGAAAGGATACAGATGTATATCGCAGAAACCAGGTAGATTTTCTGTATGCAAAACAACATGGCAACACAGTTTTGCATGACAATACGAAACATGTAATTTCAAAGGTATTATTGAAGACATGATGTCTCATCACAAGTTTGACAACAATACCGTACTAAGGTATAGTATAATGCAGCAACTCACTGGGACACAAGAACAAACTTGAAAACACGGTTCATAAGTTTACTTGCTCCTTGATACATAAAATACCAAGTTTCCACTGACGAGTTGGCATGACAACATCTATGTTATCTCCACAGGCTCAACAGACACACAGAATGCGTGAGTACAGTTGTACTTGTTAATGTCAACATCTAAAATTAGCCTTCCCATTCAATTAGATCTCTTCCTGTTAACACACAACCCCCCAAACCTGGGTTCTATTCCAAACATGGTTCTGTATGTGTATACGTGTGTGAATTCCATGCAACTCTAACAGCCTTGTCGTTTCTACTGCAGGTCACGGATCCCCGTAAATATAGGAGAACAAGTACATTTCCAAGGTACGTCAATATTCAAAGTACGTGTATGTATGATAAAAGGAAAAGGGTGCGATTATTTGCATCGCTGTTGTCAAATAATGCCAAGTTCATCTCCACACGTGTCTGTTTTTCTTCAATATAGATGTTAACCCGTACTCTGGCCTGCAAGACAGAGCGGATGACAGACAGACGTACACAGACCTGACGAATTATGAAAATACAGTAATCCGTCCTTCTACAGGTATCCAACCTAACTTGTATACATCCCTAGATCTCTAAACTGGATGTGGACTGTTTTGATTTTGATCATACCATAAACTACTAGAGCCTATGAAGCAGTTGATCCACAAAGTAGCATTCCTTTCTTATCATACCATCGAAGTCTTTAACGTTTCACTGATGGATTCTCAGCAGTCATGTAGTTACTATACGCTAGTGTTAATTATTTACAGACACAGTCAACACCAATGAAGATATCAACCAGACATCAACACATGCTTATGAACACGACCAGCCTGCCCTGTATGTGAATGTTGACATCAAAGGCCAAGGTATGACTGATGTGGAAACAAAGACCTGTCTGTCACTCGATTGTCTGACTCATAACTTAAACATTCCTCTACATAATAATTACCATACTGGGTCAAGTGTTGTGTATGAATATTGTAATGTTTCTATATAATTATTTGTGCACTGGATATTGCCATACTGGAGCAAGTGCTGTGAATGACTATTGCAATGCTTCTGTTTCAGATTCGCCCTATGTGAACACCTGAAACCAATAACTGAAACATCAATATCTCTGACATCATAATCGATGACTTATTCCTCCGTTAATCATACCGTCACTAGAATATTGACAAGGATGGTTGCCCACATACGTTTAGTGGCTTAGGATTACATGTATATTTTGG